TATAAATGTGTAAGAAACTTATAATAATAGAGTTTCAATATAATATACATAAAGCAAAAAGCTGATAGAACTAAGAAGAGCAATATACAAATTTACAATAATAATCTGTGATACCAAGACTCCTTTCCTAATAACTGACAGAATAATTAGCAAGAAAAAAAATTGCCCTTTCCTATGGACACACAACGTGGGCAGAGAGAGCCAGCAGACTGCTGGGTGCCCCCACCAGAAGGCCCTTTCCCAGGCGGCCAGCACCGACAGAGAGAACAGCAGGTCCACTTCCAACTGCAGGGAGCTGCCACCAAAAAACCCCTTCCTGCAGGTAGCCAGCAGGAGCAGAGAAACAGCCAGATAAGCCCTGTGCACCACTGGAGGGCCTTGATTCCTTTGGACAGCCAACACCCAAAGGCAGAATCAGACAAATAGACCCCTGTGTGTCTGCCACCATCACAGGAATCCCATTGTAGACATGCAGGCTGAGAGAAGCAGCCCCACCTCCATGCATCCCTGATCATCAGGGAAGCCTCAGTGTAGCTGCCACAGGTCTGGAGAAGCCTGTTCCATGCTCTGCTACCTCCCTGTAAATCTGGAGTTAAAGGAACCCATGTGCCTGTCCCATCCCCCTATACCATGGAGGGGCAGCCAATGTGGGAAGTACCTGGGGCCCAACAGCCAGCTTGTTGGGAGGAACCCAAGGAAATGTCAAGACAAAGGAGTAAAATGCAATCTCAGACCTCCAGCCCACACAGAAGAAATCTGGGAGATACAGTCATGGAAGAAAACAGAAGTCACACATCTGAAATCTCTGAAAGGATAGTAACTGAAGTAAGGAAACAACTTCATGAGATTGTAAAAGCAGTCAAATCAGAAATAATGGCTCAGATAAAAGAAGAAATCACAAACATACTGAAAGAATTGTTCAGCAGGTCTAAAGAAGACATAGACAATAAAGAGGAGCAAAGAAAATGATGGAAACTTGAATAAATATAGAAAGGACAATGCGATGGGTGTTGGTGAATAAGCAGGGTCAACACAGATGAAATTAAAAGGATATTCACAGAGTTAATAGAAGAAAACTTCCCAAACATGGGAAATGGATCTGGCATGCAGATAAGTGAGGCATATAGGACTCCAACTAGCCATAACCAAAGTAAATCTACATCCAGACATAATAATCAAGATCCCAAAAATTCAGCACAAGAACAGAAAATTAAAAGCTGTTAGAGAAAAGAAATAGATCACCTATAAAGGAAAACCAATCAGAATCACAGTAGACTTATTAACACAAACCAACAAGTCAAGAAGAATTTGGAGTGAAGTGTTTCAAACCCTGAAAGAAAACACTTTCAACCTAGATTGATCTACTCTGCAAAACTATCTTTCAAAATTAATGGAAAAATAAGATACTTCCATGATAAAAACAACTGAAGGAATTTACAACTACCAAACCAATCCTACAGAGAGTGCTAAAGGATATTCTAGAGAGAGATAAAGATAACTATGGTTCCAGGAACAGCAACAGAGGAGGATTGCCAAACAATACAGGTAACTGAATGAAGGGGAAAAGTGGAGGGCCAAGAAAAGGAGGATAGCATGGCAGAGACAACTAATGTATGCTAGTTATGACCATTACTGTACATGGCCTCAGGTCAGCAATAAAAAGAAACACAGGGAGAGTGGATCAAGAAACAAGATCAATTGATATACTGTATACAAGAAACACATTTAACTGGAAAGAAAATTCATAGACTGAAAATCAAAGGAGAGAAAACAATTGTTCAAAGTGACAGGAGGCCAGAAAAAAAAGCAAGAGTAACTTGCCCATCAACCACAGAATGGATAAGAAAGATATGGTATTTTCATGCAGTGGAAAGTTACCCAGCTATAAAGTAGAATAATCTCAAGGCTCTTGTAGATAAATGGACCCAACTGGAGATCATGTTCATGTGGGAAACAGTTCGAACTCATATGCATGAACCCTAGCATAAGAAACAGAAAGAGTTAATGGGATCCAAAAGCAAAATAGTCATTGTAAAAGCAAAGGGGAAGAAACACCTGGGAGGGAAAGGTGATAACTACTGTTAAATTTTTTATTGTCTTGTCTTGAACTCTTGTATTGTTTTCACAATTTTGTTAGGTTTGGCTTTGTTCTGTCTTGTTTTGTTAGATTTTACTCTGTCTGATGATAGGGGCAGCTATTTTGAATATAATGGGATATATTATGGTAATCTTGGTTTCCTATTATATTGCTTTGAAGTCTTATAATGCTTTCATTCATTTGTTTAGTTTGTTTTATTCATTTTGTTTGATTTTATGTGATGGTATGAACAGCTATTTTGAAGAAAATGAGACATTATAGTAGCCATTGCTGATTTCCCATTGTCTTGCTTTGAAATCCTATCTCACTTTTGACTGGTTCTATTCTGTTGTTTTATTTGATTTTATTATGTGTGATGGTATGGACAATTTTTTGAGGAAAATGAGATATTATAGTGGCCACTGTTCATTTCCTGTTATCTAGTTTTGAAGTCCTATAATGCTTTCATTCTTTGTGAATAGTTTTATACTACTCTATTATGTTTACTACTATTGTGTGTGAAGGTATGGTCAACTATCTCGAAGAAAACTAGAGACATCATATTATGGTAGCCACTGTTGATGTCCTGTTGTCTTGTTGTGAAGTACTGTGTTGCTTGCATTGTTCTGTTCTGATTTGCTTTGTTCTGTTTTCTTTTGTTTTATTGTCTTTAAAATAAAATTTTTTTAAAAAATCAAACCAGTTATGGTGGTACACATCTGTTAATTCCAGCTACTTAGGAATCTGAAACAGGAAGATCACAAGTTCAAGGCCATCCTGGACAGCAGAGTTAGACCCCATCTCAAAAGCACTGAACCAGCACTTGGGAGACTGCAGGAAGATTGCCCCAAGTTCAAAATCAGCCAGGGATACATAGTGATCTCAGCACTTGGGAATGAGGCAGAAGGATTGGCATGAGTTAGAGGCCTGTCTGGGATACATAATGAGCTTAAAGCCAGCCTGAACAACAAAATGAGACTTTATCTCAAAAACAAGAATAAAAACAAAAAGCCACTAATGCTATAGATCTGAATGACACAATCAACCACTGTGACTTAACTGATATTTATAATACACTACACCAACATCTACAGAATACATGGTCTTAAAAAAAAAAAAAAAAAAAAAAAAAAAAAGAATACAGGGTCTTTGTCAGTGTACAGAAAAAGTTTACCAAGATAGACATATGCTAGATCATGCAGTAACTTTTAAAAGACTATAAATTTAATGATGTTTACTGACAACAATTAAATTAGAAAATAAATGATATGATGTCTCTATTTTTATTATTTTATCTTTTTGAGACAGTTCAGGCTGGCCTTAAAATCACTTTGTAGCCTACTCAAACTCACAGTGATTCGCCCGTTTCAGACTCCCAAGTGCTGAGTTTACAGGTGTGAACAACCATGACTAGCCTATAATATCTTTAAAAGTCTAAAATATTTAGAAATTAACTAACATATGGGCCAAAGAAGAAATTACAAGGAAAATGAGAAAGTATTTAAAACTGAGCCAGGCAAGGTGGTATATGCCTGTAATCCCAACACTTGGGAGGCTGAGGTAGGAGGACTATTCTGACTTCAAGGCCAGCCTGGGCTATATAGTGAGTTCAAGGCCAGTCTGAACTACATAATAAGACCTACTCTGGAAACAAAAATAAAACTGAATGAAAATGAAAATATGGTATAATAATTACAGTATAATTTATGCTATACACTACACTAGAATCCATGAAATAGATAGTAAACCCTACTTTTAAAATATTCATTATTGTTAACTATTAGGAAGGATCCAGGTAGTTACTGCCATACAGAGAATTCACTTGGAATTTAGTCAAATCAGCAAAGACTAATAAATCTCTTAATGTACAAGGTAATAACCTTGTGTTACATGTGAATGAGATACATGGTTAAATATATTTTCCTACACTACTAAGAGCTCTAATATTATAAAGTATAAACTTCCTTATAGACACACTTTCATCAAACTTCCCAATACCCTTTATGTATTATATAATAATTCAGAACAAATTGAATCAATCCAAGTTCAGTGTAAAGAAAAAAAAGTAATAGAAATAAAAGTAGTAATAGAAATAAATTCTCAGGAAGGAATGAGACTACTGTTCAGAATTTTGCTTATATCATTAATGATAAAATAATTAATACCAATTATAAAAAAAGTACTAATGGCTCTATGATTTCCATTCATTTGCTCCCGCTTCCTCAGTAGCTCCTAAATGTTAGCTAGACATCCGTGATTGAATAATGACCAGCTCCCTCAGTGTCTCCTGCAGCTAGTCTCTTATCTAGAACTAAGTATGAACCAATAACTAAGTTTCAGCTAGTGAGATAAAAGCGAAAGTCCTGTGTGTTCCTTTAAGGAGTTCACCTTAAAAACAGGAATCCTACCCTAGGTTCAATTCTAATACCAGAAAAAATTTTAAAAAATTAATTTTTAAAATTTTCTCCTTCCTCTTCCTATTTACTAGAATATAGTTGTGATAGCTAATATTAAGACAAGCCACTTTCCACAGACAGCAAAGCATAAGATAGGATAAGCTGTGAATCTAAGTCCTAACTACTGTGGTAGTGACATAATATCCTTAAATTGGCTATATATATACATAAGAGAACATTTTCTATATGACATCTTCATTATTTTATTATCTTTGATCACATAGTAATCAATTAATACTAACTGGAACAAAATTATACCTTTAGGGCAGGAGCATAAACCCCTGCCTGACAAGTACAAGGTAATGAGTTCAATCCCTGGTCCCCCCCCAACCCGAAGGGGGGGGGAAATATATATATATATACCCTTAACCAATAAATAGCAATTTATGATAGCTAATGATTATAGAACATCTGACGGAACCATAATACTGCATAATTATTAGCCCAAACTACCAAAACATACTCACCTGGGATGTTCTGGTATATTCTTCATATAGCCTATCATATTCTTTGCTCTTTTCCTGATACTGAGAGTGGTATTCTTGTAGTTTTTTACCTACTGCATCAATATTATCTTCTTTCACCAACTGATCCTACACAGGAACAAAAGAAATGAGTGTTAACAACTCTGACATGTAATCTCTTCCATGTCTTCTTTCTTTTCTATTTATTTATTTAAAGGATAGAACCAGAAATTTCCACATGTCAGGCAAGCATCCTACCGTCACTGAGCTTCATTCCCAGTAGTATCTGTCTGATTCTGCTGTACTGAGATTGAATCTAAGGCTTTCCCACTAAGCTATAACCCCAGTGGTTTTTGTTTTTGTTTTGTTTTATTGTTTATTTTGAGAAAGAGTCTCACCAAATTGCTTTTAAATTGCCCAACGCTGGCTTTAACTTTGTATCCTCCTGCCTCAGCCTCCCAGGGTTCTGGAATTAAAGGCCCAGCCACTGTATTTATTTTCAAATTGCATTTAAACTTAGAAATTCAAAATACTGTATTAACACCAAACATGTAAAAGCATTAGGTCCTTTTGCTAACACTAACATCAGCCTTTAAATCACATAAAAATAATTAATACATTAAAAGTCAAGAACTAAGGTATAAATATAAAGCATAAACAAATATTTTACATAAATTTAATAAATATATGCATTAGGCTATTCTGGAATGTTAGCCACAAAGTTACAAAAATATGTAAAATCTTTAGTAGGATATCTAAATTGACTAGACTTCTTTTCTAACTGACAAATAAGAGTTAAATGATGTTAATTAATGAGTTGTTCAATAGCTATCATGAACATCAGTAATCATACCTGTTGGTACCTGGACACTGGGTACATCAGCTTCACGTCAAGCTTGGGGTTGTACTGAGCAAGAGATTCATGATGGTAGTGATTAATGAGCTCCACCACAGAATTAAAGGTCAGAGGATCAGAAAAGCCATATTTACCATCCCGATGATAGATCTTTATTAACTTATTATTGCCTCCCTTCCTGTGAACAACAAGACAAAAACTAGATTTTTTCCCTAAAAAATCCTACTCAAGTACTACTTTCACTGGATCACATAACAAACATGTTTTACTATGTTAATAAGACTCGAGGTGGTGAAAGGCATATATAATTATGTGTGTGCAAGCCAGGCATGATGGCACTCAGGAGGCTAAGGCATGAGGATTGCTATAAGTTCGAGGTCAGTCTGGGTTACAAAGTGAGTTCGAGGCCAGCCTGAACTAAGTGAAACCCTGGCTCAAAATATGTAAGTGACTAAAATAAATAAAAAATAAAAACTAATTATGTGTATGCAAGAATATATAATATTATTTCACAGAAGACAGACAAACTCTTCGGACTCAAAAATAGGTAGGCTCTATGTCTTTCTTTTCTTTTCTTTTTTTTTTTTTTAGTTTGTTTGTTTGTTTGGTTGGTTTTTTGAGACATGGTAGTTCTGGCTGGCCTTGAACTCACTATGTAACCCATGCGGGTCTCAAATTTGTGGTGATCCTCCTGCCTCAGCCTCCTGAGTGCTGGGATTACAGGTGTGTGTCACCTTACCCAGCCTGCCTTTACCTCTTTGAAGAGGAAGCAGAAGTCCTGAAGTGAAAATAAACATTTGCCACAGAGCCATCAGCACTCAAAGTCGCCTTGTTCATACACAAAACGTAAGTAAACTCCTTGAATGAATTATAGCTCAGTAACTGACCTAGCACCTTGTATTACTGAGCATCTCATATTATTTTGTCTTTTATACTTGCTTGTAATTCTTTGAAATGACTTTATTTAGGTTACCACGATAAACAAATGATTTAAGTCATTCAACTATTTTACAAACCAAAGCTTTTGAAGAGCTATGTGTATTAGATGGGTATAATTTGATGCTTGAACAGTCTAAGTCACTTAATTTACTGAGTCATATCCAAAGATAATTTATGACCAAAGTATACAATGGCAGTGTTTTAAAAATTCCATAAGGCATAATCTAAACTACAGCAAGTTGACTCATGATATCACAGTAAAATATTGTACCATTCCCATTTAACTCTTCTTATAGCAGTATGCTATAAGACTTAGTGGAAAAATATGCCTCCATGCCTCTTTATGTCACGCTATGCATTGTACATGATAAATGAGGCACTGGAATTTGTGAAAGGTGAAACACAATAGGTCTAAACCCATGGACTGGTTGAAATTAAACAGGCTTCAAAGGCGAGCATTTAGATGGGTGACAAATTACTCCTGTAAAATGTATGTTAGAAGAACAACCTAATCACTTGTAGTTATTTCAGGTGTATACACCCATACATGGCCTCATTATAAATGAAAATCTCTCAGAAAGTCAAAAGGCATTCATTCATTCAAAATAATGTGCTGAACATCTACTACATATGAGGAATTTTACAAACTACTGTGGATACAATGGCAAGGTGTATCGCTCACAGGGAACTGGAGAAATGTATAGCCATACTACAGTTTATGAAAGAAGATTTTAAAATTCCTTAAGTTACAACATAAAAATAGACAAATTAGTCAAAGAGTAGTGAGTCCTGAATGGGAGATAAAGCAGAATACAAAGAAGAGCTAGTTCCAATAGTGGAGAGGGTGCTGATTTACATACGTTGCTCAAGGAAAATCTCTCTGCTCAGGTGATACATGCGCAGAGTCCTACATACAGTAAGAAAGCTAACAAAACAGACAATAGAGGAAAAGGCTGTCGAGGTGAGGGGATGGCAAATGAAAAGGCCCTGAGGTAGGTATTTGCTGGATAGGTTTGAAGAACAGCAAGGAGGCCCCTAATGCTTGGACTGAGTAAATGGGGAGAGCAGCAGGAGCAACTAATAAAGGTGTAAAAACAGCTTACACCGTGTAACAACAACCTGAAGGCTATTTTAAGGCTTTAACTTTTACTGAGACAGGAAGATAATGATGGTTTTGGTAAAATGATGTAACCTATCCTGTGATTAAAGAGGCCCACTTCAGCTGGTGAGTTAGACTGTTCAAAGTCAGCAGGGTAGAAGCTGGGAGACTATCATAGTGTAGGCAAAAGAAAACAGTGTCCTGGATAGGGCTAGAAGCAGTGGAAACATTAAGAAATGGTGAGATTCACAAATTTTGAAGAGAAAACAGGATTTGCTGATGTTTGGATATGGAAAGTGATAAACAACATAAAGGTTTATCTTTTTTTTTTTTAATCGGTATCGGGGGATCAAACTCATGACCATGCGCTTGCAAAGCAGGCACTTATGCTGCTGAGCTAAATCCCCAGCCCCAAGATGGTTTATCTTAAGCAGTTAGAATGGAACTGTCATTTATTGACATAAATAAGTTATACAAAGAGAATACATTTAGCCTGGCATGATGCTATACACCTGTAATCCTAGTACTTGGAAAGCTGAGGCAGGAGGATCATGAGTTCCAGGCCAGCCTAAACTACATAGTGAGACTCTGTCTCAAAAAAAACCCCAGTAAATAAATAAATGCAGAAGTTGATATTCTTTAGATGCTCCTTAAAAGTGATAATAGCTAGAGGCAAATGAGTTATAGTCTAAGCCCCAGGGCACATCAATGTTTAATGGTCAGGGATATGAGAAGGTAAAGGAAACCAAAAGAGCGTAATTACTGAAGTAAGAAAATCAAGCTATGCTAAAAAAATCAATGTTTTTTAAAAAGCACTTCAGCAAAGGGTAAATAATCACCAGGTGCAATGTTCATTGGGTTTGGCAAAGTAGAGATCACTAAGCAACTGTAACTAAGTGGTTTTTGAGTGAAATAGTAAAAATGAAAGCCTGACTGAAGTGGATTCAAAAAAAAAAAAAGACTCAATCTCCATAAACTATCTTGAGGAATATTTATATAAACAATAGGAAGATTATCTTTATGGGAACTGACTGACTGATTCATTGACTGTAGTACTGCGGAATGAAACCAGACATGCTGAGCTACATCCTTAGCCCTCTTTTTACTTTTATTTTGAGACAGGGTCTCACTAAATCACCTGTGATGGATTTGAACTTGGAATTCTCCGGCCACAGACTGTGAGTAGCTAAGAGAAATGAAAGTATGAAGGAGGAAGAAGATGAAGAGAAGAAAGAAGAGGAGGAAGAGGAAGCAGGGGAGAGAGAGGTGAGGAAAAGAAAGTAAAGGTGATTATTTTGGGAGGCCAAGCATTGTGGCATATGTTGTGCCTATAGTCCCACCTACCTGAAGCCAGCCAGAGCCCTTTAGGAAGACCCCCACTCTCTTCAAGCCCCGCCCCACAAAAAAGTGTTTGAATTTAGTTAAGTGATTACAATAGAAGAAAAGAGTAGAGCAAGTTTTTAAGAATACATTTACAGAGCCAGGGATTTAGCTCAGTGGTGTAAGTGCCTGCCTGGCAAACATGAGTACCAAAAAAAAAAAATATTCACCAACCTTGTATTTTGGTTGGCTTGTTTTGTCTTTTAAGAGGGTCTCACTATGGTACCCAAGGTGGTCTCAAGCTCCTGAGCTTAAATGACTCTCCTTCCTCAACCTCTTGAGTAGCTAGAACCGCAGGACTTTGCCACCACATCCAGATTTTCAATAAAGTAATTTTACTAATGGACCAAGGACTCTAAGCAGAGGAGGAGAGAAGTAAAGATATGAAGAAGGTAAGTGAATTTTAAATCTATTTAATCTTGAACAGAAAAATCAGGACCTTCTTGCATTCTAGCACCTGGCCCAATGTCTGACAACAGATTCTTAAAGATTTATTAGATATCTACATTTTCTATAATAGCTATTTATTGTGTTAAAAATATTGGTTATTAAGAGCTGAAAACCTTCAGCACCGCTTACTCCTTGAAGTCTGGGTTCATTCTCACTCCCCTCATTTGACGATTGATTACCAAGGACTTCTGCCAAATTCAGGCTCTGCTCCTTGACTCAGGCCTTTCTCCTCCTCCCACCCTTCCTCCCGTGACTTGCAAACACTCTTTTTTCTTTCTATCTTTCAAGCTATTCTTCCTGTCTTCTTTCTGACTATAAACACAGTTATTCTCTCAAAAATTTTGCCTTTAGCCTCTACTCTCTCTTCCCTATACATTCTTTCTTTAAAATCCTACTGACTTGGGCTGGGGATGTGATTGAGGGCAAACCTCTTCCCTAGCATGCACAAGACCATGGGTTCAAGCTTCAGCCAAACAAATCCCACTTACTCTTCATATATGGTGTTTGGCTCTTTTTCTAGTCCCATAATCTTTTCTAAGCATTAAGCCCAATTTTCATCTATATCCCTAGATAATTTTTACCTAGCAGTTCTAGAGCAGCTAAAAATAAAAACTTACTCTTTCTTCCCAATAAAAAACTGCTCCTCACTTTCCTGTTTCTATGCAAAGCACATTCCAAGTGTAGGGGCCTCAAACAGCAGTCACTTTCAGTCCCACTCAACTTCGTACCTATTCTACTGCTAAATCCCTTTTGCTCTCAACTCCACCTTAAAGTCTGAGAGCCACAAGTCTATGAGTTTGTGTATTCAGTCATTTGAAGAGAAAACAGGATTTGCTGTCATCCTACTATTTGAAATTCTTTATTAATTTTTTTGTACTTGGGAATTTAAATTCTTTCAACAGGTCCTTAAAATTTTATATAATCTTATTCCGTCTTACCTTCAACTTCTTCACTTCTAATTTACACTATAAACCAGCCACAAAAACAGTCTTGGTATTTATCAGATCTACCAAATCTTTCCCAAATCAGTATCTTGGCATTTTCTATTCCTACCTTTTGAAACTCTTCTGGCTGGCACTTTCTAACCATTCAATCACTAGAACAAAGAGGCCATATCTATCCTGCCATTCTCTTGAGTTTATTTTTATTTATTTATTTTTTGACAGTGCTGGGGATTGAACACAGGATCTCATGCACTCAAGGCAGGTGCTATATGACTGAGCTATACCCTTAGTGACTTGTCTGTCGTTTTCTTGGCCTAAAACAATACATGAAGCATTGTGTGTACTCAATAAACTAAAGGATTGGGAGATAAACCCTATTCTTACTTTTTTTTTTTTGTCTTTTTGAGACAGGGTCTCACTATGTAGTTCAGGCTGGCCTTGAGCTCACTTTGTAGCCCAGGCTGGTCTGGAACTCACAACAATCCTCCTGCCTCTGCCTCCCAAGTGTTGGGATTACAGGCGTGAGCCACTACACCCAGATATTCTTACTTTTTCTTGAGATAAAAGTTTCACTACATAGTTCAGGCTGGCCTGAAACTCACAGTGATCCTCCTGCCTCTTGAGTGCTGGAATTATAGGCATGCTGTCCTAAGGGTACTGAGGCAATTTACAGAGATCAAATCTTTTTTGTTTTCTCTTCTAATTAGATTTTAATGGTACATTTTAGATACACATAATGATCCTACTCATTATAGAGAATTTGTACCTGTATATAACTTTTTTTTTCTTTTTCCTATTTTTTTTCTTTTTCCTATTCCTTATTCATCCTTTCCTATTTCTATTCTTTATCCTAGTTCCCTACCCTCCCTCCAATTCCTCCTCCCCTCTCCATTTACAAAAGCTTTTTCATTTGTTCTTACTTTCTTTTTTTTCACTTTTCCTTTCTTTCCGTCCCACCTCCCCCTCCTTCCCTTGTTCCCCACCTCATTTGAACATTTTCTTCCTATTTCACAAATACCTAATATACATTTTGGGCCTTATTTACACTTTCAGTTTCTTACATCACAGAAACAACGTGGTATTTAGTTGTGTGTCTGATTTATTTCATTTAAGAGTATGAGAAAGGCCAAATCTTAAAATAAAAACAAAGTCTTAACAAGATGGGATACAGTTCAGTGTGAAGGCCCTGGATTCAATTCCTAGTATCACAAAAGAAAAAAAGAAAACAACAAAGAAAATTTTTAATAAAGAGATTTTCCAAAGCCGTTGTAGCCACAGTGCTTCAGAGGTTGGAGCAGGAAAATTCTCACAACTTTGAGATCAGCCGGGGCCACATAGTGAGTTCAAAGCCTGCTTAAACTACCCAATGAGACCCTGTCTTAAAACACACACACACGCACACACACACACACACTCAAAGCCTGGTAATCTCAGCTACTCAGAAGACTGAGTCAGGAGAATCACCTGAGCCTAGGAGTTCAATACCAGTCTAAGCAACATAAAGATCTCATCTCAAAAACTGAGAGAAAAAAAGAAAGAGTAAAGACTTATCTAGCATGCACTGGGCCCTAGCTTTAATCTTAGCACCATGAAAAAATAATTATTTTTTAAATTATAAAGCTTTATTTAACTGGGCTATTGTAATCATTAAAATTCAATGTAGATTAGAGCTAATGCCATTTTTCTTAGCCCTTTTTTTTTTTTTTTTTTTTTGAAGTACTGGGGATCGAACTCATGACCTCATGCTTGCCAGGCAGGCACTTAAGCCACTGAGCTAAATCCCCAGCCCTCTTAGCCCATTTTTAATATATATATATATATCCCATGTTTGTCAACATACAAGGTCACACATCTACCACTATGATACTTTAATATGCCCACATAGAAGGCATGCTTTATCTTTTACATATCCTCATCACCCCAAATTATGCTAAGTTCAATTTTCTGAAGTCTGCATTAAGGAAAATAGGGTTAGTAGAGAGATATATAAACTGTGCTCCTAACTTTGACCTCATTAATAAGGGTAGCTGTTGTCTTTTTACTCTCTTACAGCTAGGGACTTCAGCCCTCCCATTTCATTGTTACATAAAAATAAAAACAGTGGTCATTTAGGGTTACATTTAGGCATTGAAAAACCAACTAAAAATTGTTCATCTAAATAAAAATATATTAAAATGTGCACATAAAGGTTTAAATAAACTACACAACTCTCTATATACTCAGAACTAAAAGAACACGAGAAAGGCACCAGTCAAAAGGCCAAAAAGTACTCACCTCAAAGTCAGAGTATAATCTCCCTGCATTTTTGTTGAGGCATCACGGACCAAAAAGGTACCATCTGGCATGTCCCGTAATTTGTCATTTACTTCCTCCCTAAAGAACAGAATTAAAGGAAACATTTTTTAAAATGTCACTATTACTGTGAGCTGGACGATGGGTATGTCTAAAACTGTAGTCACATAAGCATTCTGAAGTCACTCAGTCTTCCCCCAGATATGTTCTCTGTGATCTGAATTTTGGTGTCTTGCAATCTAAGGAAAGGTTATTCAATTTTTAAACTCTTCCTGATTTCCAACATCTGTAGGGGATAGTCCTTCCAGTTTTTAGGGCATTCTTAGGCAGGTCTGAACTTGCAGAGTTTCAGGAAAAACCAGCAGTTGTTTAGAAAGGTTATACTTAAAACAACAATGGGAGCTGTTCAAGAACAGTGAGGGAAAGTGCACAACCTTTCACTATGACATTCTTTACTTTGAGTTTATACTGACAGCAAATTCCTTCTTCAGAACTGGCTTAGGACTTTAAGAAACAACACTGTAACACTCAAAGGAAATGGCAGCACATGAAGAAAGACCTTAGATTACAGTAGAACCATATGATCTTAAAATATAAATTTACATGGCATTTAAATATAATAGACCCCTTTATTTTAAAATGTTCTGATCAATTTGAATATAAAAAGATAGGATACCCTCTTCAAAAAAATTAAAACATAGAATTACCAAATGACTCAGCAATTCCACTTCTGGGTATAAACCCAAAATCATTGAAAGCAAGGACTCAAACAGATACCTGCACAATAATGTTCACAACAGCATTATTCACAACAGCCAAAAGCTAAAAATAAGCCAAAATGTCCATTAAACCCATCTGTCACAATGAACAGATAAAATGGCAATACAGATATACAATAGAATAGTATATAACTTTAACTGGAGTGGAATTCTGACACATGCTACAACATGAATGAACCTTGAAAAAATGTCAAACAGCTGAAATAAGCCAGTCACAAATAAACAAATATTATATGACTGCTGAATTCCTAGAGAGTGAAAGCAAGTCATATTTATTCCTTCTCTAGGCTGAAAAGTATACAAAGCTGGGCATGGTCACTCACGCCTATAATCCCAGCACTCGGGAGGCTGAGGCAGGAGGATCCTTTCGAGTTTGAGACCAGCCTGGGCTGCAAAGTGAGCTCAAGGCCTACCGAAGCTGCATGGAGAGGCCCTGTCTCAAAAAGACAAAAAAAAAAAAAAAAAAAAAAAAAAAGAAAGAAAGAAAGAAAGAAAGAAAGGAAAGTATCCAAAACTGTATTTTACACCAAAAGGAGGAAATCTGTCCTAGAGTCCTGTTTCTTAAAGTAAGGTAGAACAACAGAATCACATAGGGAGGCTGCTAAATGCAGATTCCTGGACCTCACCTCAACTGAGTTTTGTAAATACAGAGAGTCTGGAACCCACACCCTAGAGAAAGTATTAAAGTATTAAGTATTAAATGTATCTTTTAAACTGGGCATGGTGGCGCATACTTATTATAATCCTAGTACTCGGGAGGCTGAGGTAGGAGGATCGCCATGAGTTTGAGGTCAGCCTGAGCTACAAAGTGAGTTAAAGGCCAGCCTAAACCATATAATGAAACCTTGCTTCAAAAAACATTTTTTTAAAATTATCTTTTATTATAAATCACATGTAACTACCCTAAAGTATAAGTTTCATGTATTTGGAAAACTACCTGCAATAGAGTATTAGAAGTAATAATTACATTCATAACTTAAAGATTTCCTTGTCACTTTGATATAGGAAGAAAAAAAGATTAAAGACATTTTTAAAATGTCCCCACACACAATTTGGTTACTGGTGATTGAACCCAGGGCCTTTGCACTGAATGACATGCCCATTACTTTTATGTATTTTTAAATTTCAAAATAGAGTCTTGTGCTGAGTGTGGTGGTACATACCTATAATTCCAGCACTTGGGAAGCTGGGGAAGAAGGACTGCCATAAGTTTGAGCACAGCCTGGGCTACAGTGTGAGTTTAAGACCAGCCTGAACTACACAGTGATGTCCTGTCTCAAAAAACTAAAAAAACGAAACAAAACAAAAAAGGTGGTATCTTGTTAAATCACTAAGTTACCCAGGCTAGACTAGAACTTGTGACACCACCCCCTTGGTCTCCTAGAGTACAGGATTAGAGATATGCACCACTACACCAGTTCACATGTTCAATTTTTCAAATGGCAGTCTTTAAATGATAAATAAGACATTAAAATGTTTTATTGGGCCAGACATTTATCTCAGCTGCACAAATGCTTGCCTGGCAAGCACGAGGTTCTGAGTTTGATCCCTCGTACCAAAAAAATAAAGTAAGACAAAGTGTTTTATTTTACTTTAACTGCTAAATCAAAAATAACCCTTTGAGTCAAGCACACGTGCCTGTAATACTGCCCCTCTAGTACATCCCCAGCTGCAGAATAGCCTGAGGCAAGAGGATCAAAAGTTCAAGACCGGTCTCAGCAACTTATCAAGACCTTGTCTCAAAATTTTAAAGAAAGATGTGAAATGTAGCTTAATGATTGTGCATTCCTGGGATCAATCTTCAGTACTGAAAAAAAAATTTTTTTAACTGCATTTAATTATCATAGTATTCTGATTACCTGGAAATATCCCCCCAGTACCATTCTGCATCCTGAAGAGGAATAGAACTGTCCTTCACTCCATTTGTAGTTCCTGAAATCATTGGCTTAGGTGGCTTTGGTGGAAGAGCTATAAGAGAAAAAAATACTATTTTCTATGTGTAAATTATTACGTTTTTTAATTTCCTCAGCCATAAGCAGCTCATTATATAATATACATTAAGATTCAAATAAATACCAATCATATATAATGTTATTTTATATTTACTTTTAGTTTAATTCCTTTGGGAATACTTATCAATTACTGCCTGAAAAATAAAACTTCCAAGATGTTTAGGTTTTTTTCTATTTTATAAAATACCAACTTTTGATTCACCAAAACTTCATCTTAAAAGACAACACAAAAATTCCCTCCTAAAAAATTCATTCCAGAAGGTATTAAATGACAAATGTAGATGAGCGCTATAGTTAATAGCACTGTGTATGGGGTGGCCTGGCCCAAGACAGCTGCTAAGTATTGGAAGAAGAGCTGGAGCACAGGGCTGGGTGAGGAGGTGGCAACAACACAGGGTAAAGGCCAAATGAATGAAACCTCAGTCCTCAGGGTAGGGATAAGATCAGGAAGGAGTGTGTGCTTGCACAGGCAAGGCCCTGGTTCAATCCCTTGCACAAGAAACAAACAAACAGAAGCATCAGATTCAATTCTCAGAGGCAGACAGCCTGATGCACTGGGCAGAACCAAAGGAAAGTGAAAAGGATTTCTACTTGAGCAAGGTTTGGGGAATGAAGTAACCTGGTTAGAGACTAGATACTGAAATAAGTAATCTATAAAAACAGGAGACAGGTTTCTAACAGTCTTATAAAAGAAGTTACAAATATGAAAAAATAATGAACCCTCTGATACAGACCTGGAATTTCGAAACTCATGAATTTCTATATTTAAATATTGATATTAAAATAAATATAGAACTAAGCCAATGGCATAAGCCTGCAGTCCAGCACTCTGGGAGGCTAAAAAGCAGGAGGACTGCAAGTTCAAATCCTACCTGATCAATTTAATGACCTAGCAAAACCATGTCTCAAAAAAAGGCTAAGGACACCAGAATACAATCCTCCCTATCTGTGTTTCCTGACAGGTCCTGGCTGCTGTATCTTTGTTGCTAACATCATTACTTACTAAAAGAAACCACAGTTTTTGGAGAAACACTAGGGACATCCCAAAGCGGGTACCAAATAAATCTGGATCATGTATCAAAAAGTAAAGGAATGCTCCCAAAATGAGGGCCCATGTTAAAAGCGGACAAATCTACATGAACCCTGGGCTGGATTCCAAGCACCACCAAAAAAAAAAAAAAGACAGAAGAAAGGAGAAGAGAGGAAGAGGACAATCAAGTTTGAAGAGAGCATTCTCACCCACCAAATGTGAAACAATTAGAGCATCAATACAAATAATGATAGCAAAAGAATATAACTCATTAAAATATGACTCAAAGTATCCATATGGATCATAAATGAAAAACACTGAGGGTGCAGTTCCAACATGCTCAGCATGTGAACAGCCCTGGATTTGATTCCTAGCACCATCTAAATAAACTGAAAGATTAAAAAAGAGCAAGTATCTTCCCACAAAATGCTTAATTATAACAAAAGGAAAAAATAATTTAATAATGGAAAAGCATGGCTAAATATCAGCCAACCTAAGCAATATCACAAATAATAGTGAAATCATGGACTCCCACACAATACACTGCAACGGACACAACAAATTGTGAATATCATGAACAAACATCAAGAAACTGCAACTGACAAACATTCTACAAAATAATTAGCTTCTAATCTTAAAATAATCATTGAAGTCAAGGAAAGACGAAATGTTGCAGATTGAAGAAGATTGAAGAATTATGAAAATTAAACATAATGTGTAATCCCAGGATGAATCTTTTTACTATAAATGATATCACTGGTATAATAAACAAAACTGGAATGAGATCTAAAGATTACATGACTCTAATACATCAATGTTAAATTTCTGATTTTTGATGGTGGAATTGTGATACATAGGAAAATGTTCTTGTGTATGGGAAATACAAATATGTTCATCATGTTGACAAGTTAGTCTTAAACAGGTTAAGGAAAGCAAGTTTTTGGAGGGTTGAGGGTTTAGCTCAGTGGCATAAATGCCTGTTGGCAAGTGCAAGGTCCAGAGTTCGAATCCCAGTAACCACAAAGAAAAAAGAAGATCAAGTTTTTAAAACTGTAGTTATATAACTTTTTAAAAAATTTTACTTAAAGAAAGACTAAAAAAAAAACAGAAAATGGTAGAGATAATACATACTTTCAAAGAAAAAATAAACAGTAAGAAATCACTAGTTGATAACTACATATTGTCCTCTTACAAATAGCTGTTCAATATACAAAAGTGAAACACAGAAAGTGGGGATTCAAACAGGGAGACTGCATTGTTCTGTTTGTTCTGTTCTGATAGTTCTGTTCAACTATCCAACGAAAACTTAGTAATATGGTTACCAATCCTATACTCTTAAACATACATGCAGTTATCCATATCTTCATTTACGTTGAGATTAAACAAACCAAAGCAGGCTAAAATCACTCTGAACAAAGAGTGCTGGATTTCATATCACATCATGATACTACAGGATCAGCACTAGGTACTGTAGTGTCTCTATTTCTTCAAAGTATCTGTTCATTTCATCATGCGTTATAAGACCAGTTCTAGTAAACTGTTTGTAGGTTCTACGCATGAATGAGTCTTAACATGTATTTCTATCCTTTCTATATTAAACGGAAAAACAAAACAAAGACAAAACAAAACATATTCCTATAAACACATGAAATGAAAAAGATATATAAAACCACTATATAAGGAGTCCTCCCATGGTTACTGTGTTGTCTCGTTATCTTCAATTGAATTGTCTATATCATCAGACATAGTATTGAATATAGCAGTACATAATAATATTAAAAACGTAACTTTGTAGATAGTATAAAAACAGGTAGTAATCAAACCAGAATGGGTATCGTAATGAATCTTGTCACCTTCAGTGTAGTTGCCTATACTCTCAGACTTGATACTATCAATCAACAGTTTTGAATAAAATCTGTTGATACCAATCAGCAATCAAACAAATCAGATTTAACTAAGATCAGTCATGATAAAAAGAATAAGTTATACATGGTCCAGATTAAGTTAATAGGAAATTACAGATGATTACTGTACTATATTCTGTTATTTTGTGGGTAGCTGTCTGTGCCCTCAGATCTAGTGCAAGTAGACAAATTGGGACAGAATAAAATCTATCTAAGCAGAGGGGTGCAAGTAATATGGGTTTTAAAACCTGATACTCTATTAACAATATCTTCAGCTGTCTTTTTTAAAACTATTCATCCCCTTTCACTCCCGCAGGGTGCACCGTGCATTTTTGGGTCTCACCAACACCCTCAGTTTTTAGATTGGGGAGGCAACCTGCTATTTACTTAAGTGGTTCTGAACCTTCTCCTTCCTGGACTTGATCTCTAGTTGTATTCCTTTACCTATTAAAGCCTGTCTTTCCAATCTATCCACAAATACTGGTCTAGATGCCCATACTACTCTCTGGTTCCCTGTCACAAAGAGCATTGTTTTCTCATATTTGATTTTCAGTTCATAAACCCTTTTTCAGGTTAATTACATTTCCTATAATGAGCATCTCAGTGGACCCTACCTCCTGATCTACTCCACCTGTTTTTTTTTTTTTTAGTGTATCAAGGCCATCTATATTAGAGATTATAGCCAACCTTCTCTGCCTCATTTCTGTGGTGCTCTTTTTCTGCCATTAGTTGTCAGCTTTTCTTCTTCATTCCAATTTCTGCTCCATTCATTGAGGCCTCTCTGCCACTATTCCTGGAATCCTGGTACTTCTCTCTCTCTCTCTCTCTCTAGAATGTCCTTCAGTATTTTCTGTAGAGTTGGATTGGTGGTCACAAATTCTCTTCGTCTTGGAAGCATCTTATTTCTCCATTAATTTCTAGAGACAGTTTTTCAGGGAGTATCAATCTGGGCTGGAAGTTATTTTCTTTCAGGGCTTGAAATACTTCACTCCAAGCTCTTCTTGATTTGATGGTCTGTGTCAAGAAGTTTGCCATGATTTTGATGGATTTTCCTTTATAGGTAATCTGTTTCTTGTCTCTTATAGCTTTTAATATTCTGTTCTTATACTGAATTTCTGGGATCTTGATTATTATATGCCTGAGCATAGCTCTGTTTTGGTTGTAGGTGGCTGGAGTTCTGTATGCCTCATACCTCTGAATATCATTTCCTTTTCCTATGCTTGGGAAGTTTTCCTTAATTATTTCTGTGAATAGCCTTTGTCCCTTACTCATTCACATTCTTTATTCTTAAGTTATAGATCCTCTTGTAGTCTTCTAACCTTTGTATTGTTACTGCCTGTTTCCTTGTTATTTTTAAGAATTTTTTTCCTTTCATGATCCCACACTGCAAACCTGTCTTCTAGTTTGGATAATCTATCCTTAGCTTCTTTTGAGCAGATTTGCCAGCTTTCATTGGAGCTTTTTATTTCCTGGTAATCTCTTTGAACCTGCCTCATATATTCTAAGTTTTCTTTATATTCGTCATCAAACTTTTCTTTTTTTTTTTTTGTGCTCCTCCATTCTTCCATCTGTGTCTTCTTGAGAGGTGCTCAGCATTTCTTTTATTAATCTACTTATATCTTGCTTTACTTGGTTAAATATTTCACTTTTGAACTCGTCTATGAGGTCCCAAAGATATCTCTTTATGTCCACTGATGCTGTGTCTGATACTGCATGTTTACTGTCCTAAATCTCTTTTGTATTTACTTCTCCTGGATCACTGTTCTCAGGGTTGGGGTCTGGGGACTTTGTCTTGTTGCTTCCTCTTTTCATATTTTTTGTTTCTTCCATACAGGGGTATAGAGAGGTCCCAGTCCCTTTCCTTGTTGGTTACGGTTCTTCTGAAGCACACTGGCTAGGTGATCCCACCCACTCCAGTGTGTTACTGAAGTACAAACAGGGGCGGTGTATGCTGGCTCCTTCTCTCTGGGTCAGTCAACCTGCTGAGACTTTCACTGTGTTAGTGTATGCCACACATAAGGA